ACTAACCTGCGTAGATATTTAGCGGCGTGTGGCGTGCATGCAGGAGCCATGCTGGCTGGAGCGTGGCTGAGGCAGAGAACTGCTCAGCTGGGGATGTTGGCGAGCTGGTGGGGTGGTACAAGAAGGGGGCCTGCAGGAATGTGATATTCAACTGGCTGCCAACTGTTGCAGGCCCCAACTCGAGCAGGTTCTGACTGTTGGGTTCTGGCTGTAAAAGGGCCTGGTTATACCAGCCTCTGACTGTAACAGCTTTAGCCTGGGGTAGGTTCCAACAGTTGCACCAGGCTCTTGACTGCTGGTCCTAGTAATGGACTCTGACTGTAGCAGCTGTCTGTGTAACCAACTCTGGCTGTACTGGGTTTGTAATGGGCACTGTAAGTAGAGGGCTCCAGGTGTAATGGACTCATGCTGGTGTAGAGTTACAGCTGTAAAGGCTCTGCCTGTACTGGGCACTATAAGGCTAGGCTCCGACTGTGACAGACTGAGTGTAGCGGACACACCTGTGCTGGCTGCGTAACAGGTCCTGTTTGAACTGGGTTCCACCTGTAACAAGCTGTGAATGTAACTGGGTCGGACTGTAACAGCTCTGTGCGTACTGGGCTCCAACTGTACTGCCCATGTACCAGTCTGGCTCCGACTGTACCGGTGACGTACCAGGCTCCAACTGTAACAACACTGTGTGCTGTGCTCTGGCTCCGCCTGGCTCTTGTGTCCGACTGTACTGCTGATGTATTGGGCTCTGTCTGGCTGTAGCAGCTGTATATCCACGGGGCTGGGGCTGTTCCAGAGCAACTGACAGCCAATCCCAGCCTTAACAATAAAATCTGTAGAGGAATCTGCCCCGCACCCCTCTGTGACTGGCCGTGTGTGATGTAAGGAGACAGAGGGGCATAACTGGATGAAGGAGCAGGTCAGAGCAGGAGCTGGTGTGTTGCCCAGAGCAGGCTCAGGTGAGAATAAGAGGGTAAGAAAACCCAGCGGGGCCCCAGGACCCCACAGGGGGCTGATCCTAAATATTGCAGGTGGGGAAAGAAAATCATGTGTACCCACAGCACAGCCCCCCCCCCCACTGAGCCCCTCAGTCTGTCCCCCACACAACGCTGCCCCCCAAGCCTCTCGCTCTGTCCCCCGCAGCACAGCGCCCCCGAGCCCCGTATTGGGGCAGCACTGGCTGGCAGGGGAGAGCACCCCCTGCTGGTTTCCCTCTGACCTACTCCCTTCAGCATAGTGCCCATTAGTGCCAACCTGGGGCAGCAGTGCCTGCCAGGAGAGAGGATCCCCCCACCCCACTCCCTGCACCACACAGGGCATTGGGGCCGGCACTGACTACCAGAGGAAAGAACCTCCCCCCCCCCCCCCCTCCCGGCCATGTAGCTGCAGCCCTAGAAGGCAGGCGAGGACGGTCATGGTGCTACACACGCCTGGCTCGCCTCGTACTCCCCTCCAAGCGTCGGTGACCCTGGTGCAAGGGGCCCGGCAGTGTGTGAGGCAGCTGGAGTAAGGCCACCATGCTTTGAGTTGCAAGCTCCTCGCACTACTCGGGGTAGGAGGCCGAGCAGACCCAACCTTGCCGGAGATCCGTTTCGGTGCACTGGGCCTCTGTTTCCCCACGTGACCTGACGAGGAACAGCACCACGGGCTGGCGGCCATGGAGGCTGGGATTTTCAGCGGCTGTCGGGCTTTAGGTGATCGACACCATCAGCTCCTTGGCGCATGGCTGCAGGTGGCCTTGGGGCGTACCCTGCTAATGCACAGTGTCCTCTCTTCTTGCCTAGCCTTTCCCCCCCAGTGGATTGGGGTACTTTGGGCTGAGTGTCACCCCCCTGTGGGTGGATGGGGAATTACAGCTCTGACAGCCCATGAAAGAGCTTCCATTCTAACCCACCGGCATACACCAGAGCCCCTCCGCGCCCACCCCAGCCTCCCAGCCTGGGCCCTGCTGCTCTCCACCAAGGCCTCCAGACCCCTGCCGCTGGCATTGCTGCTGCGTGGGGCCGTTTGACCTTTCCCGGCTTTGTCTGACCTGCATGGTGCCTGCCTATGGCTGGCGGTGAATGCGCTCTCCTGCAGCTCCAGCTCGGGTGAGCCTGCTCCCGGGGTGTCTGTTCCCTGCACTGGTGTGTGACACGCACAGCCCTGCTCCTTAGTCACCACCAAGGGAAGGCAATGGCCAGGCAGGCAAGTGGGACCCTCGGCCCTCTGGGGCCAACTGGCAGGGGTCACGGGGGCATGGAGGGGGCACAGGGCTCCCTAGGGTCTGGCAGCTACAATGCATTTCGCCAATGAAGTCACGGGGGATAGTTCTCTGAAAACACCCACTCAACGTGCAGCGGCCCTCAAATAAGTGAACAGAATTAGAGAATGATTGAGAAAGGGCTAGATAAGAAGACAGAAAATATAATGCCACTGTGTAAATCCCTGGTACGCCCACATCTTGAATACTGCATGCAGAGCTAGTCGCCCCAACTCAAAAAAGATACATTGGAATTGGAAAAGGTTCAGAAAAGGGCAACAAAAATGATTAGGGGTATGGAGCAGCTTCCGTATGAAGAGAGATTAATGAGACTGGGACTTCTCAGCTTGGAAAAGAGACGACTAAGGGGGGATGTGATTGAGGTCTATAAAGTTATGACTGGTGTGGAGAAAGTGAATAAGGACGTGCTATTTACTCTGCATAACACAAGAACTAGGGGTCACCCAATGAAATTAGTAGGCAACCGGTTTAAAACAAACAAAAGGAAGTATTTCTTCACACAACGCCGTCAACCTGTGGAACTCTTTGCCAGAGGATGTTGTGATGGCCAAGACTATAACAGGGTCCAAAAAAGAACTAGATAAATTCATAGAGGACAGGTCCATCAATGAGTGTTAGGTGGGATGGTGTGCCCAGCCTCTGTTTGCCAGAAGCTGGGAATGGGCGACAGGATGGATCCTTGATGGTTCTGTTCATTCCCTCTGGGGCACCTGGCATTGGCCACTGTCGGAAGACAGGATACTGGCTCGATGGACCTTTGCTCTGACCCAGTAGGGCCGTTCTTAACAGGTGTCATGGGAGGGCTCCAGTGGCCCGCTGGGTGTCACCACCATTGTGTGCTGTATGTACGGCTCCCATGTGAGCAGACTGCCCAGCTCAGCCCGGCTGGCCAACCCGCCCGGTAAAGGTGGGTTCCTCCAGCCAGGAGCAGGGAGATGCTCATTCCCTCACTGCCCTTGTGGGGCTTACACTGGGTGCTGATTTGCATACTTAGACCAATGCTAATGAGGTGCTGGTGGGAATTGAACAAGAAGTGGCCCCCAGGGGGTGGTTGGTACGGGGAGATGCTGGTCACAGGGGCAGGGCAAAGGCCAGGTCTGGTCTGAGAGCTCACCAGCACATTTGCTCCACTGGAGCAGCTACAGACCTGTGGGCTCTCAGAGATCTGGGGGTATCCAGCGGCCGCATGGAAAACCAGTAACAAAACCGAGCACCTCGAACGGAAAAGCTGGCTGCTCTACATAGCGCCCCCCCCCCCCGGCCATGCAGCACTCTGGTCTCTTCTGGGGCCAGGCCGCGGGCATGCTGAGGGGTGACTTCTGTCCCCCTCAAAGCGCAACCTACAGACTGTGAGCCCCTCAGTGTAGCAGAAGTCCGGCGCATGCTGCTGCCAGCCAAGCTCTCTCTGGCCAGTGACTGGGCACTGAGCACGTGTCTGGCCATTGGGGCGAGGAGGTGGGGGGGGGCTATTACTGCCCCACGGATTTCGCTGCTGCTACCGTCTCGGGCTGGCTGCAAGGTGCCCAAGGCCAAGTGCGCGGGGAGAACTCCCAGCTGGCATGTTAGCGGTGGGCTCTTATCTCCGAGGCTTTCTATAGCAGAGCTGGCGTCCACCCAGCCCCGGGTCAGTATTGCTTGGCTGGCATGCCGACACTGGGCCGGCTTGTGCTCCCAAGTGTGCAGCGTGAAGCTGGCACCAGCAACGCCATCTCAGTTCCGCTGGGCAGCGAGCCAGACGGGGCGAGGCTGGGGAGGGCGTGCGCCCGCCGAGTCCCGGCTCTGCAAGCAACTCTGCCCTGGGCTCAGGGAAGGCGGTGTCTCCTGGCTAGTCAGTGCCCAGCTGGCAGCGGTCGCCTGCCAGACAGTGGGTGCAGGGGCTGGGTGCCGGCACCCAGGCAAGGTTCCTTCGAGAGACCATCCCCCCGAGTGCAGCCCTGCAGCTCGGGGGCGTCCTGTATCATGTACAGCAGCTTACCCCAGCCAGGCTAAGCCCAGCTTGCTCTTTAAGGCTTGAGTCTTCCCAGTGCCCTAAACGCTGCGCCGTTACTCAGATTTGGGGTGTCTCATGGAGGTGCAGGACTGGGTTAGAGACCCCAATTTAGGGTCACTTGACCAAGGGATCCCCGAGCTATAAAGGCCCCAGCTTTTCCCCAAGTTTAGGGATTTTACCAAGGGCTTTTGCCCAGACCTGGGGAGCAAGCCACGGCGCTGAGCCTGGCAGAGGGGTCTCCACTGCTGGACATGGCACCCGATGCCCCTTTGGGGGAGAGCAGTGAAAACGAGTGGCAAGAAAGTTAAGCTATCATGGTGGGCACATGCCCTAATGCTCACATCTTTACCAAGCAGGACCGAGAGCATTATCCCCCTTTTACAGGTTGGGAAACTGAGGCAGGAAGCAGGGCCGTGATTTGCCCAAAGTGAGGGAGGGGGAGGATCTCCCAGGGACCATAGCAGCACATCACCCGGAGACACTCACCCTGCATTCAGTCTAGTAGGGTGCTGTTTCTTTTTATATCCATGTAACTTATCCCATGTGCCTCCCACGCAGTCTAGAGACATGGCAACCAGGAGGCCTGATTCCCAGTCCCCCAGCCCTAACCACCAGACCCTACTCCCCTCCTAGAGCAGAACCAAGGAGTCCTGGCTCCCAAACTGCCCCTGCTTGAACCCACTAGCCCCCATCCCCCTCCCTGAGCCAAGGAGAGAACCCAGGAATCCTGAGCCCAACAATCACTCAGAGACAAGGTTCGTGACATAGACCTGCTTCATTCAGTGTCTCCAACAGCCTCTGTATCACAAGACATGAGCCTCTGGAAGGTACAGTTCCCCAAGGACCCCACTCAGATGGAGCTGCCTGCCCACCCCTTAGGTCCAAAAAGGCTGGAGCCCCACAGCACTGCGGGGACAGATGTGCCCCCTCAGCCAAGCTCCAAGGTGGTTAGAGCAGGGAGCTGGGAGGCAGGAGTCCTGGGTTCTATCCCTGGCTCTGGGAGAGGTGTGGGGTCTAGTGGGTTAGAGCAGGGGGGGTTGGGAGCCAGGACCCCTCAGTTCTATCCCTGGCTCTGGGGAAGGAGTGGGGCCTAGTGCAGGGGTGGGCAAACTTTTTGGCAGGGCCACATGGGGGTATGGAAATTGTATGGCGGGCCATGAATGCTCACGAAATTGGGGGTTGGGGTGCAGGAGGGGGTGAGGGCTCCAGCTGGGGGGTGTGGGCTCTGGGGAGAGGCCAGAAATGAGTTCAGGGTGTGGGAGAGGGCTCCAGGCTGGGGCAGGTGGTTGAGGGGTGTGGGGGGGTGGTGTGGGCTCTGGCTGGGGGTGCAGGCTCTGGGGTGGAGCTGGGTATGAGGGATTCAGGGTGCAGGAGCATGCTGGGACCGAGGGGCTGGGACATGGGAGGGGGTCAGGGATGCAGCCTCCAGGCAGCGCTTACCTCAAGCAGCTCCTGGAAGCAGCTGCATGTCCGCCCTCCAGCTCCTACATGTAGGGGAGCCAGGCGGTTCTGCACGCCGCCCCATCCACAGGCACTATCCCTGCAGCTCCCATGGGCCTGTTCCCAGCAAATGGGAGCTGCGGGGGTGGCGCTTGGGGCAAGGGCAGAGCCCCCTGGCTGCCCCTACGTGTAGGAGCCAGAGAGGGGACATATCAGCTGCTTCCAGGAGCCACATGGAGCCACGGCACATGCAGAGCGGGGCAAGCCCCTGACCCCATTCCCTGGCTGGAGCTCAAGGGCTGGATTAAAACATCTGAAGGGCCGGATACAGCCCCCGGGCCGTAGTTTGCCCACCCATGGCTTAGTGCAGAGGTGGGCAAACTACGGCCAACAGGACCCTCCTGCCCGGCCCCTGAGCTCCTGGCCCAGAGGCTAGACCCCGGCCCCTCCCCTGCTGTTCCTCCCACCCCCACCCCCCGCAGCCTTGGCGTGCCATGCTGCCGGCGTAGTGTATTAAACTGCTCCGCGTAGGAATGAGCTACTGGTAGCAGTTACAGGGAGCAATTTACTACGCTACACCGGTGCGATGCTCTAGGCGGTAAGGGGGCAGGGAGCAGCGGGGGTTGGATAGAGGACAGGGGAGTTCGGAGTGGTGGTCAGGGGGCGGGGCTGTGGATGGGATTGGGACGGTCAGAGGGTGGGGAATGGGGGGAGGGGGGTTTGAATGGGGGCAGGGGTCCAGGGGCAGCAGCCAGGAAGGAGGGGAGATTGGATGGGGCGGTGGGGGGCGGTCAGGGGACAGGGAGTGGATGGGGCAGGGGTCCTGGGTGGGCCATCAGGGAACAGGGTTGGATGGGGCAGGAGTCCTGGGGGAGGGGCCCATCGGGGGGGGGGGAAATAGGGGGCAGGGTCACAGCCTCCCCTATCTGGCCCTTCATACAATTTCCAAAACCCAAGGTGGCCCTGAGACCAAAAAGTTTGCCCGCCCCTGGTCTAGTGGGTCAGAGCAGAGCTCCTGGGTTCTATCCCTGGCTCTAGGAGGGGCATGGGGTCTAATGGGTTGCTGGGGGGGGATGCTGGGAGTCAGGACTCCAGGGCTCTGTCCTGGCTCCTATCCGGTGTGGAGTCTCTGGTGGGACACAGCTGGGGACTTGGGCAGGACGCTGTCCCCATGCTTGGCAAGGGGGGACCGGCGGGCATGGGCAGTGTGGCTCTGGCCGTGGCTGGGCTCGGCGTGGATGGCCTGGTGTGAGATCAGCGTGTGGCTCTGGGCAAAGCGCTCCCCGCATCGGGCACACTCGTAGGGGGTCTCGCTGTGCACCCGCAGGTGCTGCACCAGCTCGGCGCTCTCCCCAAATCTGTGGCCGCAGCGGGCACATTCATGGGGCCTTTCAGCATGGATGCGCCGGTGCCGAGCCAGCGTGGAGCTGCGGCCAAAGCGCTTGCCGCAGCCGGTGCAGGTGAAGGGCTTGCCGGCCCCGTGCCGGGTGCCGCGGTGGGCGGCCAGGGCTGCGGCCTCACTGAAGGCCTTGCCGCAGTCAGTGCAGACGTGGGGGCGCCGGGCGTGGAGCCGCCGGTGCTGGAGGAGGTTGGCGCGGAGGCTGAAGCCACGGCCACAGTCCATGCAGCAGTAGGGGCGCTCGCTGGAGTGCACAGCCCGGTGCCGGAGCAGCACCGCGCTCTCCGCAAAGCACCGGCCACAGTCCCCGCAGGCGAAGGGGCGCTCGCCCGTGTGGGTGCGCCGGTGCCGGGCCAGCACCGAGCTCTGCCTGAAGCGCTTGCCGCACTCCAGGCAGGGGAAGGGGCGCTCCCCGGTGTGCACCCGCTGGTGAACCAGCAGATGGGAGCGCTGGGCAAAGCCCTTCCCACAGTCCGAGCAGCCGTGCCGCTTCCCCGGGGGAGCCCCCAGGGAGCCTGGGCTCCACCCCTTCAGCCCTTGGGACTCCGCCCCCTCTGCAGGGATCACAGCCGCCGAGCTCCGCCCCTCCCACCTTTGGGACCCCTCCCCCTCGGCAGGGATTCCCTGCTGTGTCACAGCCGCCGAGCTCCGCCCCTTCAGCCCTCGGGACTCCTCCCCCTCCACAGGGATACCCTGCTGAGTCACAGGCTCCGAGCTCCGCCCCTTCAGCCCTCGGGACTCCTCCCCCTCCGCAGGGATTCCCTGCTGAGTCACAGGCTCCGAGCTCCGCCCCTTCAGCCCTCGGGACTCCTCCCCCTCCGCAGGGATTCCCTGCTGAGTCACAGGCCCGAGCTCCGCCCTTCAGCCCTCGGGACTCCTCCCCCTGCAGGATTCCCTGCTGAGTCACAGGCTCCGAGCTCCGCCCTTCAGCCCTCGGACTCCTCCCCTCCGCAGGGATTCCCTGCTGAGTCACAGGCTCCGAGCTCCGCCCCTTCAGCCCTCGGGACTCCTCCCCCTCCGCAGGGATTCCCTGCTGAGTCACAGGCTCCGAGCTCCGCCCCTTCAGCCCTCGGGACTCCTCCCCCTCCGCAGGGATTCCCTGCTGAGTCACAGGCTCCGAGCTCCGCCCCTTCAGCCCTCGGGACTCCTCCCCCTCCGCAGGGATTCCCTGCTGCATGAGGGTCTGGGCACTGGGCTCTCCCCCTGGGGTGCTGTGGGTGGCCAGGTGGCGGCCCAGGTTGGACCTGCGGTTAAAGCGGCGGCCGCACTGGGTGCACTGGTAGGGGCGCTCCCCGGTGTGGGTGCGCAGGTGGAGCAAGAGGCCGGGCCCGCGGCTGAACCGGCGGCCGCACTGGCCGCACTGGTAGGGGCGCTCCCCGGTGTGGGTGCGCCGATGCAGCGCCAGGTCGGGGCCACGGAGGAAGCGCCGGCCGCAGTCGGGGCAGGGGAAGGGGCGCTCGCCCGTGTGGATGCGCCGATGCAGGCTCAGGTCCGGGGCCCGCAGGAAGCGCTTGCCGCAGTCGGGGCAGGGGAAGGGGCGCTCGCCCGTGTGGATGCGCTGGTGCTGCACCAGGGAGGAGCCCGCGCCGAAGCGCTTGCCGCAGTCGGGGCAGGCGAAGGGGCGCTGCCCGGCGTGGGCCCGCTGGAACCGCAGGAACTCGGGGCTGCGGCTGTAGCTGCGTTCCGCCGGCGGGGAGGGGAGCCCCGCGGCGCCATGGAGGCGCTGGTGCTTGGCCAGGTGGGCGCTCTGGCTGAAGCACCGGCCGCAGTCAGCACAGGCGAAGGGGCGCTCGCCCGTGTGCACCCGCTGGTGGCGCAGCAGGTTGGAGCTGCGGCTGAACCGCCGCCCACAACCGGAGCAGCCAAACGGCTTCGCCGCCGCGCCTCTGCAGGGCGTCCCCCGGTGGGCCAGCAGGGCCACGTCGTCCCCAAAGCTCTCCCCGCACTCGGCACAGATTGTCGGCCCCACCTCGAAGCGGCCGGTACCCCGCTGCCCCTCCGTCTGCTGCTGGCTCCACCAAGTGTCCCCCTGCAGCTCCTCTGTCCCAGCCCCCTCCACGCTCTCCGGCCCGATCCTGTCCAGGCGGGGAGCCCCCTCCTCGCTCTCACTCATGGCTCCATCTGTCTGGGGAGCCCCCTCCACACTCTCACTCATGGCTCTGTTGCCTGCTGGGACACAGAGTAAATCCAGAGATTAATCTGTCCCTGTGCCAGGGAGAACGGGAACCTCAGGGGGTGGAAAAGGGCAGCGTCAGAACAGCCTAAGGGATTGGGACACTCGCCCTGGGAGTCGCAGCCACCAGTCACTCTCAGAATGCCGGCACGGTGACATTTGCAAAGGGCTGCAAGTCCCGATTCACTGTGGCTCATGGGATTTAGACACCCGGGTCCAGACTGACAGCTGTTTGGACACCTAAAAAGCTAATAGGGGACTAGTGGGTGCTTTTATCCACTTCTCAGGTGCCCAGATCTCTTTAGAATCCGGCCCTCAGTTCTCACTATTATACCAACTGGGAGGCGGGCACATCCCAGCCCCTTCGGAAGCTCTGCGATTCCTCCTCATGTCTGCAATGCCAGCACCAAGGACCCAGCCGAGCAGATCTCAGAGAACAGCAGCCAATGGAGAAACCCTCATGCAAGGAGGGATGGTTCCAGTGGGGGCCTGCGGGGATCTGTTCCCGGCACAATGCTGCTCAGGACCTTTACCAAGGGTCTGGAAGGAAATCTCAACTCCCAGCTGGTAAAGCGAGCGGCTGGCACCCAAACCACTAGGGAGGAAGAAGAGCTCCTGATGCTAAAGGACAGCATTGGCGCACAAACGAATGGGGATAAACGGGCAGGAGTAAATGCAGGCTGGAAGGAGAAGGTGGTTTCTAACCACCAGGGGGTGGGAGGCTGGAGCAGCAGGGCAAACATCTTACCTAGTTTCCCGATGCAGCTTGAGAACTGTCTGACCAGGACGGTTCGCTGGGGCTACAGAGCACTGAGCTGGGCAGCCGAGCACGGCCACGGGGAGGTTTCTGGCAGCTCTTTGCTCTAGCAGGAAAGGGCGGAAGGAGGTGCAAAGGCTGGCAGGCGGAGAGACGAATTCAGGGTGGGAACAAGGACAGCCACCCCACAAAGCCGGCTGGTGGGCTTAGAGTTTTACACCGCGGCCCAGCACCACACCTGAACGGCTCCCCCACGAGCCCGTCACGTCCCTCTCTGGAGGAGACAGAAAGCTCTGCAAGGGTGATCCAGCCAGAACTGCGCATACAGCGGTGCCAGGGCTGGTGCATTCGGAAGAAGGCGCAGCTGTGCTTCAGCCCAGCTCCAGGTGGGCACAAGCCCTAGGTGCGTGCTTTGACCATGTCACTGTCTCAGAATCTCCTTCCACCGGGAACGAGGGGCAACGGGACAGTCTCTCTCGAGCATTCAGGGGCCCAGCGGGGCCGGTCTCCAGCCGCCTCTGGCTCTGACACCGCCCCCTGCCCTCCAGAACCCGCAAAGCTCCTGCTAATGGAGAGGAATGGGCTTCTCACTCACAGCAGCTGTGAACCTGGGCTCCTGCATGTCTTCCTGCATTGGGTCGCTGTACAGGGCTGCTCTGCCTGGCAGGTGCCCCTGGCCACCTCCTGCGCGCTCAGGCTCTGAAACAAGAAGATTCCCACGCTCAGTCCTGGCTGCTCTCCCCCCGTCTGCTCCCCACTCCCTCCAGCCCCCCACATCTCCTCCACTTCTGCTCCCCCACGGAGAGATGGGCACTTCTGCATATTCACTGCCCCCGCCCATGGGGACAGATCCCCACAACCATGAAAAGCGCCCCCCCCCAGCCAGGTACACACATGGGTTCACCTGGGGGATGCACAAGCTGCTGCTCAGGACCTGCCAGGCCCAGTAAGAGCAGGGGCCCATCTAGCCTGGTATCGGGGCTGCAACGCTGGACAGCGCCTGCTGCTTCAAAGGAAAGAACAAGAGCAGAGGCCAGTGAAGGAGGGTAAAACAGGACCCAGCCGGGGCCACCACTCCCCGCAGCACCCCCCACCCCACAACTGTGCAGGGGAGACCCCCCCACACACCCCACTTGGGGACATCAACACATCATTGCACCGGCGGGCACATGCACGTCCTCTCTGGCTGGGCCGGGATTTCTCACACCCACACCCCGCACCCCATGCACCATCGCTCCCAAGGCAGCCCCGAGCCCCGGCCGCCCCGCGGGCAGATGGGCCCCCACGACTCCCCGCGCACGGGGGCCCCGGCCCCGATCCCCTGCCCGATCCCGGGCGCCGCCCCCCGCGGCTCCCCCAGTTACCGGGGCCCCCGGGCTGGCGCCGCGTCCCCTGCGCTCCCCCGCGGGGTCCCGGGCGCAGCCGGCTCGGTGCGCGCTGGGCGGAGCGGGACGTGGGGCAGCGAGCGCCGCCGCCTGCGCTCCGGAGCCAGCCCCCTCTGGCGGCGCCTGCTCCCGGCCGGGCTGCGAGCTCAGCCAGCGCCTGGCGCCGGGCTCCTGGAGCCAAGCAGCGGTGCGGGCGGCGGCGGATCCGTCCCACCCGCCCTGCCTTTGGGGGCTCCTCACCAGCACTGGGGGACCCGGTGCCTTATTTCTGCTTTGGCTCGGTCTGGCTTCCGCTGCCAGCCACCGCCTCTTCTGCCCTTCTCCGGCCTGGGGGATTCTGCCCTGGGCTGGGCCTTGGACACTGGGATCAAGTCTCCGCTCTGTCTGCTTTGGGATGGGCCTCTCCCTGGCAGGCCTGTCTCCAGGCCCCTCCAGTTATTGTGTGGCTCTGCTCTGCACCCTCCACATCCCTGTACAATGTGGCCACCAGAGCAGGGCTGGAGGCCCGGTGCTCCCGTATCCATCTCAACCCAGTGACCTACACAGAGGTACCGTCACCACCCTCTTCCCGCTCACCACCCTGTTTATACATTTGCACCTCCCCTTAGCTCTTGTGCCACAGCATCGCTCTGGGAGCTCGTGGCGAGTGTCTTGCTTTTTGTGCCCCCTCAGTCCTTTCCAGGGCAGCTGCTGTCCAGGACTCATTCTCCCAGTTGGTAGGGCTGGCCTGGTTTCCTTTGGCCTTGATGTGTCACTTTGCACTGGGCTGGATTAAAATGCATTTTGTTTGAATTAGGCCATTTTCCCGAGCAGTCCAGATGGCTGTGTATACCCTGTCCTCCACCCTGCCGATATTTGGGTTCTCCACTAATTTTCTCAGTGGTGAGCTTACACTGATTTCGACGTCAATGGAGATCATGGTGAATTGCACCAGGGCTGGCACGATCCCCACAGAACCTCACTAGAGACCACCGCGTTTTATGGAGCTTGTCCACTGCTGCTCAGAGTTTGGTCTGTGAGCCCATCCTGCATCCACTGGACATGTGCTCAGCTGATTCATAGATAGATTCATAGATACTAAGGTCAGAAGGGACCATTATGATCATCTAGTCTGACCTCCTGCACAACACAGGCCACAGAATCTCACCCACCCACTCCTGCGAAAAACCTCTCACCTATGTCTGATCTACTGAAGTTCTCAAATCGTGGTTTAAAGACTTCAAGGAGCAGAGAATCCTCCAGCAAGTGACCCGTGCCCCATGCTACAGAGGAAGGCGAAAAACCTCCAGGGCCTCTTCCAATCTGCCCTGGAGGAAAATTCCTTCCCGACCCCAGATATGGCGATCAGCTAAACCCTGAGCATATGGGCAAGATTCACCAGCCAGACACTACAGAAAATTCTTTCCTGGGTAACTGATACCCTCCAATGCTAGCTTTCCATGCCAAACCGCTCAGAAAGAGCCCAGAGCCCAGATTTGGGGTGTGTATTATTGTTCGCGTACAGGGTGTGTATTATTGCTGGTGTATTTCGGTGTCCCCCACACGCCCAGGTCAGGGTATCACAGCCCTGTCCAGCCCCAGGGCTCGGGGGGGAGGGGGCAGAGGGCAGGAGCCATGCTGGGGGCCTCGCTGCCCTGAGCAGGGGTGCGGGGGCTGCTGCACAGTTATCCCACAACAGGGACACCTGAACAGATTCTGCTTCTCTGCCCCTGGTTCAAACGCTGCCTGTGTAGGCGCTGAGCACCTCAGGACTACATCTCCCAGCATGCACCGCGACCAAGAGGACTCTCCCGGCATGCATCACTCCCGGTAGAGAAGCATCTCCCGGCATGCCCGGCCTCAAGTGGGCGGTGCATCTTCGAGCACGCCTTGTGCCCCTACGGAATCTCCCAGCATGCATCATGCTCAATAAGAGATGCATCTCCCAGCATTCCCTGCGCCCAAGGGAATCCCCCATCGTGACCCGTCACAGGTTCTGGATGCTTGTCCCAGCAGGCTGCTCGGCTGCTGTCCTGGCCACGCTGCTCAGAACTACATCTCCCAGCATGCCCTGCTCCCAGGGCGGCGGGGCCTGCAGCCCTTGCCGGGCGAGAGGGCGGGCGGGCGCCTTGCAGCGAGGCGGGGCACAGGGAGCTGGAGAGGCAGCCTGGCCAAGCCCCAGCCCCCAGCACCGGGTCACTGTAAGGTCACGTGGGGCGGGGGGGGTTGCTGTCAGGGGCTGAGCCGGCCGGCTGTGCCTGTCTGCGGCGGGTTGTCAGGCGTCCCCCACAGCCCTGATCTGTGCTTGTGCCCAGAGGCGGGATCGCAGGACTCTGGGAGCTGGGGCTGGCAGTGAAACTCTGCCGGAGTGGGCAGTGCAGAGGGCGGGGCTCCAGCCCCATTGGATTTCACAGGAGACCAGGCCTCTGACCCCCCCAGAACCCTGTGAGAGCCCTAGGGCTGACATTGCACTGAGACCAGCCATCACCACAAACCCCTTTGACCCTATCCATCCCCATACGTCCTCCCTCTGCCGATAAATCCACCGCCCTACACCCCTTGTGCTGCCTAGCCCCATACGCTCCTCTAGCTATATACTGTTAGTACCTGTTACCTGTTAGTAAATATTCACCCTTTTAGGCCTTTTCTTTATGTATATTTGATTCATTTATATATTAACTATTCTTTAGAATCTCTAGGATATTAACAAAGAGTATGTGTGAATTGTAAGGCCCAGAACACTGGTTCTTGACCGATAAGTAACCTTGATCAATAAAAACGTAAGAGTGGCCATCCTCGGTCAGACCAAAGGTCCATCTAACACAGTATCCTGTCTTCCGACAGTAGCCAATGCCAGGTGCTTCAGAGGGAATGTGGAGCACAAGATCTGGTCCAAGATGTAAACCGTCCCTGCCTATCCTGGCTAATAGCCATTGATGGACCTATCCTCCCTGAATGTATCTAGTTCTTTTTTGAACCCTGTTATAAAGTCTTGGCCTTCACAACATCCTCTGACAAAGAGTTCCACAGGTTGACTGTGTGTTGTGTGAAGAAATACTTCCTTTTGTTTGTTTTAAACCTGCTGCCTGTTAATTTCATTGGGTGACCCCTAGTTCGTGTGTTATGAGAAGGAGTAAATAATACTTCCTTATTCACTTTCTCCACGCCAGTCATGATTTTATATGACCTCTATCATATTCCCCGCTTAGTTGTCTCTTTTTGAAGCTGAAAAGTTCCCAGTCTTCTTAATCTCCCCTCATACGGAAGCCGTTCCATACCCCTAATAATTTTTGTTGCCCTTTTCTGAACCTTTTCCAATTCCAATATATCTTTTTTTGAGATGGGGTGATCACATCTGCACACGGTATTCAAGATGTGGGTGTACCATGGATTTATATAGAGGCAATATGATATTTTCTGTCTTGTTATCGATCCCTTTTCTAACGCTTCCCAACACTCTGTTAACTTTGCCTGCCGCTGCACATTGAGTAGGTTCCTATTCGGGAATTCTGTGTGTTAGATTATAGCTAACAATCTGTGGCTTCCCTGTGTCTATAAAACTCCAGTTAGTTTGAGGAACCATCCCCTTCACATAGATATCGATCCTGCTTACATAAACGTATATAAACCTGGGAAACTGATAAGGGAGGATTGTTCCAGCAGATGTTTTCTATTAGGGAATCAACAGGGAAGACTGATTAGGGGGGAAGAGCGAGCCAGTGAACATTATTATCTTAGTCCTCTCGACAGTAAATAATCCTGCCTTCACCCATGAACCAGGTAAACTGAGCATGTATAGCTGCTATGACATCAGAATATATGTTTCTTTTGGCAGAGGGTCTTTTTGACACTGGTCTTGGAACTGAGCTGGGGAATGAAACCAGGCATCCCTCCAAGTGCAGCAAAGGAGTCCCAGCCCCAGCCGTTCTGGATCTGCTGTCACAGGGTGATTAGTTAGCCCGTGGCTCTGTGCAGTCCTGTACAGTGCTAATCTCTGGTGGAACCTGTGAGTAAATAATTCCAACTCCTCACTGTCATTCAACAAGCGGGAGTTGGCATTAACTTGGACACGCAACACCCCGGGTCTGGAAACCTGGCCCCAAACCCTGCTCATAACCAGCTGGTGAGTCTGATCATAAGAGGGGGTGGGGGGCTGCAAAGCCTGACAAAACTGCTTTCATTCAGCACCAGCAATTACGGAGCTGGATCATCTGCCCCTCCCGGAGCTGGGGGGGGGGGGGAGCTGTGCAGCAGCTGGTGTCAAGGGGGGCCCGGATCTCGGTCAGTGTCTGCAGCAACCAGCAAAATGGGGGCGAGATCTCAGCCGCGGGGTTCAGGCAGCAGCCCCCCACACGCCCCAGCCCCCCAGGGATAGGGACCCCAAATAGAGCCAGATTGCGACACAGCCGAGGCAGACCCCTCTCTGGGGGGCTGGGCAGGGGGCCAGTAACATCCCCAGGCCCCCTCACTCTTCGGGGCTGCCCTGGGCAGGGCCCGGCCGGGAGCAGGCGCCGCCAGAGGGGGCTGGCTCCGGAGCGCAGGCGGCGGCGCTCGCTGCCCCACGTCCCGCTCCGCCCAGCGCGCACCGAGCTGGCTGCGCCCGGGGCCCCGCGGGGGAGCGCAGGGGACGCGGCGCCAGCCCGGGGGCCCCGGTAACTGGGGGAGCCGCGGGGGGCGGCGCCCGGGATCGAGCAGGAGATCGGGGCCGGGCTTCCTGCACTAGGCGGGGGGGCGGCTGCAGCCTCTGCGGGAGATTCTCCCTACTGTCATAGAGGGGCTGGACACGCCCTCTGTCCCCCGCCCCCCAGCAGAGGGGCCTCCCCGGATCCCCGCCCGGGCACAGCCTCCCTGCCCCCGAGAGGGCCTGGCTCTCCCCCGGGACAGGGATGGTGCCATGGGAGACTCCTGTCTCCTTCCCCCCCAGCGGGACCCCGCCCCCCAGGCTGCCCTGACTTCCTGGGTGGAAGAGCCCCGGGTCGGGTCGTGGCTCCCCAGGGCTGAGAGGATGGGCAGATGCCTCTGGGTTAACTGGCAACAGTGTAGTGCCTAAGTGCCATGAGACGATAAACCCCTGAACGGACGGCCAGGGGTAGCGGTGGGCTTGGAGTCTCCAAATGCAGCCTGGCTGCCTTCCTGGAGGCTCCGTGCAGGTGTGTGGGATGCACCCCTCATGCACTGCTCGGGGGCTCCGACCCCGTTCCAGAAGCTGAAGGAAAAAGTGAGATTGTTATGAAATACCCTCGGATGAAACCAAAGCAACCTCTGGTCGAGTGTGAGGCCGTACGGGGCCATGGGACCAGCTCGTCTGGCCTGGCATGTGGAGCGGAAAGTGGGGAGGTTTGAACTGGCCTTAACTCCCTGGGTTTCGTTTCCCGGCCTGGGGCAATCCCCGAGGGCTCGGCTGCCAGTGTCCCTGCGGCCCTGGATACTGCTCCCCTGGAGATGCCCCAGGCTCTGACGCTGTTATTTCTCGACAGGCTTCTCCCAGCCTCGGTAGCGTGACCTGCCTTCGTGACGCGTCGGGGAGCAGCATGGTGAGTCCCTTCTCTTGGTGAAGGCGTGACTGGGGAGAGGGGCCCTGTCTCAGGTGGTCAACGGCTACCCCAGGGGCTCCCTCACTGGGAAGAGCTGGGGGCTGCAGTGCAATATGGTGACTGAGCCTTTTGCCAGACATGCAGAATCTAGAACCGTTGTGTCCAGAGAGAACGGGGCTTGGAGATGGGGCCAGGGCCGTGAGAATCCAGCTTAAACCCTGACCTCTCCCATCTCCTTCCCCTGTCCCAGGCTGCCCTCAACTCCCAGATGGAGTGCAGGGAGGAGCTGCAGGTCCCGGATCCCCAGGGCTGTGAGGAAGGGGAGATGCCACGTGGTGCCAGCCCAGGTGAGGAAGGGCTTAACCCAGCTCTGGCGCGGAATGGCCCCAAAACTGCTGCAAAGCTCCCAGCATGACCACCTGTATTCACCTGACCTGTGATACGGCCCCACTAGCGCTGGGGGAACCCCCCACCCCATGTTGTCTCTAGGGCTCAGCCAGGATATGCAGCAGAACTGGACACTCTGCCCTCCCCATGGGTGGGTTTGGGGGTCAGACCCTGGTTCCCAGCCCTACAAACAGAGGTTTATTAGTGACACGCACTCCCACCCGCAGGGTCCCTTTGCCCCGGTGCAGGGAGCTACTCACATCTGTGTCTCAGCAGATGACCGGGCGAGCGAGGAGGGGGCTGCCCAGCTGGACGGGGCACCCAGAGGAGCCCAGCTGGACGTTTGCCAGCGCTCAGAGCGGGTCAGGAGCCTGCGCCGGTCGGGAAGGAGAAGCGGCTCTAGGCAGCAGCCAGCGACCCCCGCTGGGCCAGTCCCCCAGCCCCGAGGAGCTCAGCAGCGCTACGTGTGCGCCGAATGTGGCCGCGGCTTCGCCGTGAGCGCCCGCCTGGTGAAGCACGAGCGGACCCACACCGGGGAGCGCCCCTTTGCCTGCGCTGAGTGCGGCAAGCGCTTCACCCAGAATGCCAACCTGGCGCAGCACCGTCGCACCCACACCGGGGAGCGCCCCTTCCGCTGCGGCGACTGCGACCGGCGCTTCGGCACCAAAGCCGACCTGGCCCGGCACCGCCAGTCCCACACCGGGGAGCGCCCCTTCCGCTGCGCCGAGTGCGGCCGGGGCTTCAGCCAGAGCTCCAACCTGCTGCGTCACCAGCGCTCCCACACCGGCGAGCGCCCCTTCGCCTGCCAGGACTGCGGGGCCGCCTTCGCCCGCAGCGCCCACCTGGCGGCCCACTGCCGCACCCACACCGGCGAGCGCCCCTTCTGCTGCGAGCAGTGTCGGGAGCGCTTCGCCCAGGCCACCGCGCTGATCCAGCACCGCCGGCTGCACACGGGCGAGCGCCCCTTCGAGTGCTCCGACTGCGGCAAGGGCTTCACCCGGGCCGCCACCCTGCAGCACCACCGGCGCCTGCACGCCGGCCAGCGCCCCTTCCCCTGCCGGGACTGCGGGGCCGCCTTCGCTGCCCGCGCCACCCTCCGCCAGCACCGCCGCAGGCACTCCGGGGAGGCGCCCTTCCGCTGCGCCGAGTGCGGCCGCCGCTTCGCCGTCAGCTCCGCGCTGCTCCGGCACCAGCACGTCCACACCGGGGAGCGGCCCTTCACCTGCCACGAGTGCGGCTCCGGCTTCAGCCAGAGCTCGGCGCTCGTCCGCCACCAGAGGCTCCATGACTAGGGCCTGGCAGTCCCAGGCCCGGCGGCGACAAGCCAGGGCGCGACCCCTGGTGGGAGAAGGGTGCCACGGGGGGCCCTGGGCGAGTGGGCGAGGGGAAGGTGCTCTGCGGAGGTGGGTTAATTCAGCGGGAATAAATGAGCCCACAGGGTCTGTGCCGTTAACGGGACCCCGTCGCTGCCCAGGGCTAAGCGGTTCCACTCGGTTCGGGGTTCCAGTCCAGAGACCCCGCCTTGCTGAGCCCATAGGGGGCTGATGTCCCAGCAAACATCTCCTTAGCCTTCGATTAAAGCTACCGAAAAGAGCGCTAACCAGTTGTAGCCTTTGAAACGTAAAGTATTCAGTCTGGCTTTTAGTTCACCAGCAGCCCGTGCTCCTCTTCGCACTGGCAGGGGGGTTCTCCTAAACTCTCTCCCATCTGGCAGTCTCTTAGCGAGCAATAGAGCTGGTGATCAGTGGCTTTCTGTGGGGCAAAGAGAATGGGCTGGAGCTGCCATTAGTTTGGCCCTTCCTCCTTGAGGACAGAGCATGGCAGACACACACAAGGAAAGACCAGCCCGGAGAGAAAACGCCGGTGAGTCTCGCTTGCAGCCGGTCTGCTGGAGCAAGCCAGGCCCAGCCCTGGCAAACCTGTCCCAGCATTGGGCTGGCGAGGGCATTGCTATCCATGGCCACTCTGGTCACAGGCTCAGCTGCGAGAGAGCCAGGCACTGAACAGAAGGCAAGAGAGAGAGCAAAGCGCTAAGGTGGGGAAGGATAAGGCTGCCCAAAGGAATGGGGTGACAGCGGGAGCCCACGGAAATGGGATGATAGGAGGTGCCCAAGGGAATGGGGTGACAGCGGGAGCCCACGGAAATGGGATGATAGGAGGTGCCAAAGGGAATGGGGTGACAGCGGGAGCCCACGGAAATGGGATGATAGGAGGTGCCAAAGGGAATGGGGTGACAGCGGGAGCCCACGGAAATGGGATGATAGGAGGTGCCCAAGGGAATGGGGTGACAGCAGGAGCCCACAGAAATGGGGTGATAGGAGGTGCCCAAGGGAATGCAGTGACCGCAGGAGCCCACGGAAATGGGGTGACAGGAGGTGCCCAAGGGAATGCGGTGACAGGAGGTGTCCAAGGGAATGGGGTGACAGGAGGCGTCCGAGGGAATGGGGTAACAGCAGGAACCCAGGATTCGCATCCCGGGTGGTGGTTGGGCTCGAGCCAGCACCAGCAGGGGCAGCCGTGTCCTCTGGCCTGGGCATGTCTCAGGAGCAGGGCAATGAAGGCCCAATGGGCTCAAGATGGGTCCTGGGGTCACAGGAGGCTGGGGGGCAGTTCTGATGCGGAAGCTCAGTTTCACGCCACCAGTTCCCAGCCCTTTGGATCTCGCAGCCTTCTCTGTACGGCCCTGAGAGTGGCACAGCCCCCTCCTCTCGTTATCAGACCTAATTGCCAACCCCCCCAGTTCTGGTCCATCGATTCCCGGCTCCAGTTCTAGGTCATGAGACGTGGCTCCTGGCTTGGAGCTGGAGCCCTGTTTGTTTGGCCCAGTGCAGGCCAGCTGGCTCCCTTTTCGTAATGTCGGTTGTTACAGGGGATTAGTGACTATTTCCGAACCTTTACTCACATTTCCACAATTGTGCTCACAATTCAGGTGGGCCTGCGAGACCTCAGCTCCTCCCACAGGCTCTGCATGGGGTGAAGGCAGACCGGCATGGGGGGGTATGTGGCTCTACTGTTGGGAGGGTCAGGCAGAGCATGTGGGGGGAACGGGGGGGCTTGCATGCTGGGGGCATGAGACTCAGGGACTGGGGCTGAGCAAGCTGCTTTTGGGTTGTTGAAGTGCAGCTGAATGCTTAAATTTGCCCCAAACCTACCTCAGCCTTGTTAAAGGGATCAGGATCAACAGAAGGCAAAAAGCAATTGAATTGTCATGGAGTGGGGGGTCAGGTCCGATGCTATTCAGTATCTTCATCGATGCTCAGCTAAGGGGTGCCCCAGGCCCCCACACAGGCTTCAGGGGATTGTACATGCATGCCCATCGCCCTGCCCCCCACCTTCCTCTCTGCTTGGGGAGGTCCCCTCCCTGCCTCCCAGAGGTGGCACTCACTCTGCCTCGTCCTAACCCTAGGGTCTATTTCCCCATTGGCTCCGTGCTCCCAGCTCTGGGGCCCCCAAAGAGACCCCAGAGAAATGGCCCTTTCCCAGACAGGCCCTCCCCCCTGATGGGTTCAAGGCCACTGCCTCTCTGGGTAAGTTTTAACCAGTAACACCCCAGCCACGTTTGTTCTAATAACAGCAGGATGTGACCGGTACGCCCAGTCCAGGGCCAGAGAGAATTTGGGAACGAGGAATTGTCTCACAGGCAGAGGTGCTGCTACCCAGCGGGGGACTGGGTGCAGGGTCTGGGCACACGCCTGGGAGGGAGCCCCCACAGCGAGTGGGCCCCGGGGCCCCAACAGCCAAGACCATTATGCTGTAGCAGGCGCTCTCCAATGGGCCCCGGAGCCCAGCATAAGCCAGTGGGCTAGAGAGGCTGCCGGGCGCTAGCTTAGCGTTTCTGATGCCCTCAGCTCCCAAATTCCACCCTACAGCTGTGAGGGCAGCAAGCAGCAGGGATAGCTCAGTGGTTTGAGCACGGGCCTGCTAAACCCAGAGTTGTGAGTTCAATCCTTGAGGGGCCATTTAGGGATCTGGGGCAAAAATTGGGGCTTGGTCCTGCTTTGAGCAGGGGGTTGGACTAGATGACCTCCTGAGGTCCCTTCCACCCCTGGGATTCTATGGTTCTATTTAACTGAGCACCTGGCTGGGGCAGCAGCAGCATCATGCCATTCCTGTGGGGAACCCAACCTTGGGCCTGGCCCCTGGGCCTCCCACGGGAGGAAAGACACTCACCACTCCATGTGCTGCCCCAGGCTGGGTGTAGCCCGCGGACCAGAGTGGCAGGGCCTGCTGGAAGCTGGGGCTCCCAAAGGGGGACCTGATGCCCCATGGGAATCCCAGCCTTGGGTGAGCTGCTGCATTCCAGCAGGGGTGATGGGCTGCCCCGTGACAGCATTGTCCCCCCCCGCGGGAATGGCAGCGTGGGCACACTGGCCTCCCCGGTGGAGAGGCTCACGCAGGATATGTGGGTTAGGCTGTCCTGCTCTCACCCCAGGGCCACAGCCCTTGCCCTGTGTCTGCCCCCAAACAGCTGCAGAGAGGAGACACGCGTTTACAAGGGAGCATTTCCCCCTCTTCAAAACCATTTATTGACCAAAAACGTTACAGAACATGGCACAGAAAGTTCTCCCCTCTGTTCCCACCAACCACTCCCATAAGGACGCAGCCTCACCCAGCGCTCCCTCTCGCACCGCGTGCCTGCCAGCTCAGCCGGTAGTGCTCCCATGCCGTGGGCTCTGACGGCACGCTCCATGGGCTGCTTGTACCATGGCTCCGGGGCGGCGTCCCCTTGGCTCCAGGGCCGTGCACGGCCCGTGCAGGGCTGCTGTGGCTCCCAGGCCCGGGGAGCGGGTCTATCTCGTGTGGATGCGGCGGTGTTTGCAGAGGTAGGACCGAAGGCTGAAGCGCTTGCCGCACAGCGCACACTCGTGGGGTTTGCCGGCTGCGGCGGCATGGATGCGGCGGTGCTTGCAGAGGTATGAGCGCTGGCTGAAGCACTTGCCACACTGGGGGCACTGGTGGGGCTTCCCCGCCCCGTGGATCCGGCGGTGCTTCACCAGGTACGAGCTGCGGCCGAAGCACTTTCGGCATTCAGGACATTGGAAGGGATTATCCTGCACCAAGGCTGCGGGGGATGGGGGGGTCTCAGCCAGGCCTCCCCCTCGCTCACCGATGACGCATTGAGCCTCTCCAGCCTGGAGACACTGCAGCGCAGCCAGTGCCAGGCTCTGGGCCACGGGACTCTCTGCTCCGTGGCAGGTTTCCCCGTGGACTGTCTGCACTGCACTCAGTGCCAGGCTCTGCTCGGTGCCGTGGCAGGGCTGCCCGTGGACTGTCTGCACTGCACTCAGTGCCGGGCTCTGCTCGGTGCCATGGCAGGGCTGCCCGTGGACTGTCTGCACTGCACTCAGTGCCGGGCTCTGCTCGGTGCCGTGGCAGGGCTGCCCGTGGACTGTCTGCACTGCACTCAGTGCCGGGCTCTGCTCGGTGCCGTGGCAGGGCTGCCCGTGGACTGTCTGCACTGCACTCAGTGCCGGGCTCTGCTCGGTGCCGTGGCAGGGCTGCCCGTGGACTGTCTGCACTGCACTCAGTGCCGGGTTCTGCTCGGTGCCGTGGCAGGGCTGCCCGTGGACTGTCTGCACTGCACTCAGTGCCGGGTTCTGCTCGGTGCCGTGGCAGGGCTGCCCGTGGACTGTCTGCACTGCACTCAGTGCCGGGCTCTGCTCGGTGCCGTGGCAGGGCTGCCCGTGGACTGTCTGCACTGCATTCAGTGCCGGGCTCTGTTCCGTGCCGTGGCAGGGCTCTCCATGGACTCCCTGCCGGGCAATCAGGCCTGAACTCCCCTCTGCTCCATGGCAGGACTCTCCGTGGACTCTCTGCAGCACAATCAGCTCCAGCCTCTGGGCCGTGGGTCCCTCAGTGCTGTAGCAGGGCTCTGCCTGAATTCTCTGCAGTGCAAACAAGGTTGGGCATTGTGCCACATTACCCTCTGCGCTGTCCCAGGGCTCCGCGTGGACCCTCTGCAAGGCAATCAGCGCCGGGTTCCCTTCTGGGCTGTGGCTGGGCTCCCCGTGGATGCCCTGCAATGCACTCAGGGCTGGGCTCCATTCTTGTCCATGGCAGGGCTCTCCGTGGACACCCGGCAGCGTAGTGAGCACAGGGCTCCAGCCTGCTCTGTGGCCTGGCTCTGCATGGACGCCCTGCAGTGTAGTGAGCATCGGGCTCCACCCTGCTCCATGGCCTGGCTCTGCATGGACACCCTGCAGTGTAGTGAGCATCGGGCTCCACCCCGGTCCATGGCCTGGCTCTGCGTGGACGCCCTGCAGCGTAGTGAGCACCGGGCTCCACCCTGCTCCGTGGCAGGGTTCCACGTGGACTCCCTGCAATGTAGTTAGCACTGGGCTCCACCTTGCTCCATGGCCTGGCTCTGCATGGACGCCCTGCAGTGTAGTGAGCACCGGGCTCCATCCCGCTCCGGGGCAGGGCTCTCCATGGACTCCCTGCAGTGCAAACAAGGTTGGGCTCTGTGCCACATTGCCCTCCCCTCCATGGGCAGGCTCCACATGGCTTCTCTGCAGTGTAGTCATCATTGGGCTCCACCCCGCCCCATGGCAGGGCTCTGTATGGACTCCCTGCAGCGTAGTCAGAGCCCAGGTCCTCTCTGCTCCATTGCCGGGCTCCATGTGGACTCCCAGCCCCTCATTCAGCCCCGGGCTCCGCCCCACTCCATGGCCAGGCTCTGCGTGAACTCCCAGCCCCTCACTCAGCCCCGGGTTCCGCCCCACTCCATGGCCAGGCTCCACGTGGACTCCCAGCCCCTCACTCAGCCCCGGGCTCCGCCCCACTCTGTGGCCAGGCTCCACGTGGACACCCTGCAGTGTAGTGAGCACCGGGCTCCACCCTGCTCCGTGGCAAGGTTCTCCATGGACTCCCTGCAGTGCAAACAAGGTTGGGCTCTGTGCCACATTGCCCTCCCCTCCATGGGCAGGCTCCACATGGCTTCTCTGCAGCGTAGTCAGAGCCCAGGTCCTCTCTGCTCCATGGCCAGGCTCCGCATGGACTCCCAGCCCCTCACTCAGCCCCAGGCTCCGTACCACTCCATGGCTGGGCTCCACATGAACTCCCCGGCCCTCACTCAGCCCCGTTCTCCGCCCCATGCTGTGGTCAGGCTCCGTGTGGACTCCCAGCCCTTCACTCAGCCCCGGGCTCTGCCCCACTCTGTGGCCAGGCTCCCCGTGGACTTCCCGGCCCTCACTCACTCCGTGGCCAGGCTCCGTGTGGACTCCCAGCCCCTCACTCAGCCCCAGGCTCCCCCACTGCCCCACTCCGTGGCCAGGCTCCCCGTGGACTCCCTGCAGCGCACTCGGCACCGGGCTGCCCTCCATTCCATGGCTGGCTTCCGTATGGACTCTCTGATGCTGCAGGAGCCGTGAGGCCCGGCTGAAGCCGCGGCCACACTGGGGGCAGTGGTGGGGACGCTCCCCCGTGTGCATGAGCTGGTGTCGGAGCAGGTCTGAGCGCCACAGGAAGCCCTTCCCACAGTCCCCACAGCTGTGGGGTTTGTCTCCAGTGTGGTTCCTCTGGTGGGAGCTCAGCTTGGAGCGGCGGCTGAAACTCTTTCCGCAGGTGGCACACGTGTGGGGCGGCCCCCCTGCAGCTGCGCTCTGGGGCACAGTGATGTCCCGCAGGGGGCTGCCCCCTTGCCTCCCCGGCGGGGGGTCATAGCGGCTGTTCTTACCCTGCCTCCTCCGTGGAGGGTTCCTCCTCACTGCCCGGTGCTGGCTTCCGCCAGCTCTGCCCTGCTCCGGGATCCAGGGAATGTTCTCTCCAGCACTTCTCTGGAACGGCCCCTCTGGCTCCAGCATCCCTGCTATGCTTGGCTCCAGCATCTCCTGCTTTACAGCCCTCACAGCACTTCTCAAGAAGGGCCTCTCCGACTCCGACATCCCTGTTACGCCTGGCTCCGGCATCTCCTGCTTTGTAGCCCTCACAGCGCTTCTCAGGAACGGCCCCTCTGGCTCCAATGTCTCCTGCTTTACAGCCCTCACTGTGCTTCTCAAGAATGGCCCCTCTGGCTCCAGCACCCCTGCTACGCCTGGCTCCTGCACCTCCTGCTTTACAGTCCTCACTGTGCTTCTCAGGAAGCGCCCCTCCGGCTCCAGCATCCCTCCGATGCCTGGCTTCAGCATGTCCTGCTTTCCAGCCCTCACAGCGCTTCTCAGGAATGGTCCCTCCGGCTCCAGCATCCCTGCTATGCCTGGCTTCGGCATCTCCTGCTTTCCAGCCCTCACAGCGCTTCTCAGGAAGGGCCCCTGCGGCTCCAGCTTTACCGCTTCATCACCTGCTGGGAAACAGAGCGCAACCAGAGGTGAGTTCCAGCCTCAGCCGGGCAACCACCTGGGTGCAGCCAGGAGGGCCCACGCGATCATGTAATCTGACCTCCTGCGTAGCCCAGGCCCGAGACCTGCCCGGAATCAATCCCGATTTGAACCAGAGCAGCCCTTTAAGAGAACCATCCCATCTTGCCTGGAAAATTGTTAGTGATGGAGAATCCACCACCACTCCTGGTAAATGCTTTCAATGGTTAATTACTCACTGTCAAAAGGCACACCTTCTTTCCAGTCTGGACATGCCTAGCTTCAGTGTCCAGCCACTGGCTTGCGTTAGACCTTCAACTGCTAGAATCCCAAGGGATTCCCCCTCCCCTGATCCATCCCATGCGGCTCACACCCCACTAGGCAGGGCTCCCGCACCATCACCCCCTCCCCTGGGCGCAGAGCCCATTATCAAATATTTGTTCCCCCTGTGTAGGTGCGTACAGACTGTGGTCAAGTCATCCCTGAATCTTCTCTTTGTTAAGCTACAGAGATCGAGCTCCAGGGATCTATCGCTGTAAGGCAGATTTTCTATCCTTTCCTCAGTCTCGTGGCTCTTCTCCGACCCCTCTCCAACTCATCAACCTCCTTCCTCAACTGTGGGCCCCAGAACTGGACCCAGCAGCAGTTACCCCAGTGCCAAGTACAGAGGGCTCACTCACCACTGGGATCGCTGTAGGGCTGCAGCTCCAGCACCCACACATTCTCCCCTTCCACCCAGGACGCCGGGTCTGGCAGGGGGACAGAGCATCCTTCTGGAGGAAGCAAAGAGATGAGGTCAGGGAGACCTCCTGGAGAGCCCTGGAAACGGGAGGGTGGCACCACCCTGTATCTGGGGGAGTCCCAGGGTGACTGTCATTGCCTGGAGGCTCCCGCTGCACCACGGGAAGCCCTCGGGAGGCCAATTCCAATAGCCCCTCATTGAGGGGGCTGCGCTGGGTGCCCCCTACTGAGAATCCCAAGGGATTCCCCCTCCCCTGATCCATCCCATGCGGCTCACACCCCACTAGGCAGGATTCCCGTACCATCACCCCCTCCCCTGGGGCAGACTCACCTGCAGCTCGCTGAGAGTCCCTTCCCGGAGCGGGCTCTGCCGCAGCCATGAGTGAACCGGGACGTGGCTCTGCAGCCTGCCAGGGTGAGAAAGGCAGTCAGTGGGGGAGTGCGGGCGGGGGGGGGAGGAGGGGGTGTGCTTCTCCCCATTCCCTGCCCCTGGACCTGGTATCTGTGTCACTGGGGAAACATTTGGTCACTCTCCAGCCAATAGACATGGCAGGGAAAGAACTGGAGCAGCCAGCGCCCCCAGCGACGGAGCCCGAGGTGCCCCCCAACGGGGCCCTGAGAAACCCACCAGCCAGGCCCCAGCCCCGGAAACACAGCCCCCCACCTCCAGCCAGCCCCAGAGAGACTCCTGCAGCCAGCCCCCCCCCCAACATTCTGATATTCCAGCACCCACCCACCCCTCACCCCACACACTCAGCAACCCCCCACCCCTCACCCAGACTGCCCAGCCCCTCTGCCCCAAAAACCCAGCCCCCTCCCAGGCTGTGCCCAGCCTCGCACCTGCCCCAAACATCCAGCTATCCACACCCTGCACCCAGCCCCCACATTGAACCCAGCCCCCCAATGCTGCACCCGGCCTGCCGAGCCCCCCCACTACACCTAGCCCTCAGTCCCCCCACACTGCACCCAGCCTGCCCTGCCCTGCCCAGCCCCCCCACTACACCTAGCCCCCAGATACCGAGGCCCCCCCGCTGCACCCAGCCTGCCCATCCCCCCATTCTGCACCCAGCCCCCCCCCACCGCTGCACCCAATCTATCCTGCTCAGCCCCCCCAACATTGTACCCAGTCCCCCCCGACTGCACCCAGGGCCCCCCCACGCTTTACCCAGCCTGCGCAGCCCCCCGAATGGCTCCCAGGTCCCCGGCCCAGCCCCCCACGCTGCGCCCAGCCCCCGCTGCTCCGCCGCCGGGTGCAATTACCGGGTGAGCGGGAGGCTCCGCGGCGGGCCCGGGCTCAGCGACCCCCGGGCAGCCCCAGCGCCGTCCGGGGCGGGGTCCACCTGGAGCTTCACCCCCCCGGCCCCACGGGACCCTCCCGCCGCCAGCCCCGGGGACTCCGCCCTGTGCCCCATAGCCGGCCCCACGGGACCCTCCCCCGGGGCGGGCCCAGAGCTGGTCCGGCCCCGGGGCCTGCAGGGGAGCCCGGCCCCTGCCCGTAAATGCAGCCCCCGCCCTGCTATGCCCATTTCCCCACAGCCCCCTCACCCCCAGCATCCCCTTCACCCCGGCCCTCCTGCACCCCCACGTACCCCTCCACCTGCCCCCCATTCGCCCCGGCCCTCCTGCACCCCCAGGTCCCCCCTGCACCTCTCCACCTGCCCCCCATTCGCCCCGGCCCTCCTGCACCCCCAGGTCCCCCCTGCACCCCTCCACCTGCCCCCCGTTCGCCCCGGCCCTCCTGCACCCCCACGTCCCCCCCGCACCCCTCCACCTGCCCCCCGTTCGCCCCAGCCCTCCTGCACCCCCACCTCCCCCCCGCACCCCTCCACCTGCCCCCCATTCGCCCTGGCCCTCCTGCACCCCCACGTCCCCCCCGCACCCCTCCACCTGCCCCCGTTCGCCCCGGCCCTCCTGCACCCCCCCACCTGCCCCCCATTCGCCCTGGCCCTCCTGCACCCCCACCTCCCTCCATTCCCCACAGCGCCAAGAAGCAGCCCTGACCTGTCCAACACTCACCCTGGCAGACCAGCGGCCGCCCATGCCAGGCACTGCACAGACACAGACCAGATGGTCCCTGCTGCCCCAGGAGCCACTCTGGATTCACTCCTAAAGCTCTGGAGTCTCCCCCAACAGCCTATTATTACTCAGATCCCCCGGGGATTCGCAGAGGCCCTGCACTGAAAAGGAAGGAAATCATGCTCCTAGGACACCGAATGGAAGGCAGCTAGGTGAGGTGCATGCCCCGGAGTGAAACAGGAGCAGAGAGCTGGACATGGAATTCACAGGCCGCGCCCTGTTGGGAACAGAATCCAGACCCCTGCCTTGCACATATGGGAATGCTGCAGCCCATGTAGGAGACTAAGGGCCCCCTCCCCCCAGTGCTAGGCACTGTACAAGCGCAGGACAAAACACCCATCCCTGATGGATCAGCCAGGCTGATGGGGGAGCACAAGGAGACAATGTGACGATGGGCAGCCACCTCGGCGCACCAGCCGCCGAACCCTTGTTGAGTTTATTGTAGGCTTTTTCTGCCAGTTTCCTAGAACTAGTGGACTAAAGATCCCGGCAGGCTGCATGTATGAAAGGCAGGTGATCAATCCACACCGCTCCCTGTCTCTTCCCCACCCTTTTCCCATTTGACTTGGAGTTCCTCTTTTTTCTATACTTGAATACAGGGCTGGGAATATTGTCATGGGAATCCAAGTATAGTATCAATAGCTAGAGGCCAGATTCGTAAAGGTATTTAGGCACCGAAGGCACCTGGGGATTTTTAAATCCCTTTACAGATCTGGTCCGGGGGCTCTCCTTTTTTCTGGCATAGAGTTTTTTTTGTCCTTGGCATGTTCTACGTGTTGACACCTGGAATGGGTTTGGTTTGGTACAAGAAAAAGACGGGAAAAGTTTAACAGATGATAAAAATGTTTATTGAAGGCCTCACAGCAAAGGAGAGCTTGAAGGAGAGGTCTGATGGCAAATCCACAGGACACAAGATTGGCAGGGACCTCTGGGGCATGAAGTCCAGGCCCTGCTGTCGCAGAAACCACATCCCCTATTCCCCGTCGGAAACCCCGTGTGGATGATCCAATTTCACATAATGAAAGTGCAGCTTAAATCTGTTCCTTCTTGAGGTGGGGCAGGGCTACGCCTCACAGCTACCCCAATAGCAACAGCTGTTTGGGGGTGATGTTGTATGACATTTCTGTACTAGCAAAGCGGTTCAAGTGGCAAAAGCACTCTTTGCTGGTATCGCTCATTTCACACCCTGAGCCAATATAAGTTATACCAGCAAAAACATTTTCACACTGGAATAGCTGGGGTTTTTTCTTCGTATGGCCACGGTTAAGGGGTGACTTGATCCCGGTCTATAAATACCTACAGAGGAACCAGGAATGTGACAGCAGACGGCTCTTCAGTCTAGCAGACAAACATCTAACAAGAGCCAGTGGCTGGAAGTTGAGGCCAGACAAAGGCAGAGTGCTGCACATCTTTAATGGAGAGGATAATTAACCATTGCAACAACCTCCCAGGGCTTGTGGCGGATTCTCCATCCCTGGCAATTTTAAAATCAAGATAGGATGTTTTTCTAAAAGAGCTGCTCGAGTTCAAATAGGAATTGATTCAGGGATGTTCTCTGGCCTGGGTTCTACAGGAGGTCAGACAAGATGATCACAGGGCCTTAAAATCTACAAATGAATTAACACTCCCAAGTGTAGACCTGGTTTTAAGCAAAACCAAAATGAGGCGGATTTGAACCCAAGTCAGAGCATCCACACCACCCATCGCACCGTGAAACCCCAGCGGTAGTGATGCTGGCAGGACAGTCTGTGACGGTTGCGTGGCCGGAAGTGAAGCGAGCCAGACGAGATCCTTCAGGAATGGAAATCCAGGAAAAGAGCGTCTGCCATTCCCACAAGTGACAACGAATCAGAAGGGCTGGAGGGACTTTGAAGAGCAAACAGGCAAGGCTAGCAAACCAAACAAGAAATTCTCTCAGGAGCAGGAAGCCTGCAAGGAACTTGGCAGGGCCTGAGGGAAGATAAAGACGTGGCCGAGAAGGTACGGGCACGTCTACACTATGGAAACTAAACAGCGCAGCCCCATAGGGTAGACGCAGCCTTCACCTACAGGAGTTTTTCTGCAGTGTAGGAACATTCCCTCCCTGAACACCACTAGCCACCTTCCACTGGCATAGCTGTGTCTGCACTGGGGGGGCTGTCAGCAAAGGGAAGTTGGGGTGTTTTTTCACACCCCTGACCGACCAAGCTATGCCAGTGTATCATTTCAGTTAGCGCAGACCTAACTAACAAGACCCAGCCCTTACCATCCATCAGTCCCAAAGAACGGTGCAGCATTATCCCCATTTTACAGATAGGGAAACTCAGGCCCAGAGAAGAATGTGACGGAACTTACCCACAGCTGGGAACAGAGCCTAAGGGCCAGCCTGTGCGCTGGCCACCAGGCCACACCAATTTCTCTGCATCACCCTGCGCCCCAGAGGATGTCGGGAAGATACAGCTGAGGTGCTGTCAGGTTCGCGGGGCGTCAGCAGAGCAGCAGGGGTGCAACCACAAGTCCTGCAGGAACTGGAGCCTTCAGCAGCCTCGTTAGCTACCTTCACATCCCTCCACGGAACTCTCCTGGGCTGTGAGCCCTACAAAAAACCAGACAGGCCCCTGGTGACCTGAGCCTAGTGCACATCCTGCTGACCTCCTTGTCCTCCCACATTGCTCAGTATCCATCTCTTGGCCTGTGCCTTGCACTTGGACTGTGAGCTTCTGGGGGCAGGGGCAGAGCTCGTTCTCTGTGCAGCACCTACCACGACTGGGGTCCTTCCACACTACAGTAATACACAGAAGGGGCTGAGCTACTGGGACCTGGCTGTCGTGTGGCCCCCCCGACCACCAGAACATATTGCCCCTGTCCCAGGTGCACGAAGGAGAAGAGTCTTCCCATTAGCATTATGTAGTACCACACGTAAATTGTGTCAGTAGCTTAAATGACATCCCGCCCCTGGCACACAGCCTAGCGAAGGGACCCAGGAAGGCAGATGTTGCTGCGTTTCGCAGAGACACAAACCCCAACTTCTGCCCTTCCCAGCATTGGCATGGCTCATGGTAGGGCAGCAGCAAGTTGTGCCAGCAAATGGTGTCAGCAGCGGAAACGGAGAACGGCTGCTGAATGTCTGACTTTAGAGAAAAACTGAATCATCCACAACAGAGGAGGAGGGCTTTGAATATTCTGGGCCATTGGGAGCTGAAGGGAGCCCTGCACTTTAATCCCTGGTACTATTCATCAGTAGATCTCAAAGCACTTCAGAGCATGATTCCCATTTAATGAATGGGGAAACTGAGGCACAAAAAGGGGAAAATTAGTTGCCCAAGCAAACCCAAGCAGGAGGGGCAGAGCCAGGAAGACAACCCAGGTCTCAACAGTCCCAGTCCATTGCTCTATCCACTCGGCCACACTGCTCTGAAGAGAATCCCCCTGAGATAAATGCACACCTAGAGTTCACACATCCATGGAACTCCTCCTCCAGCTGCAGCAATCTGAACGTCAGCGGCTGTGAGGATGTGCTTGACAGCAGATTGGACAAAGATTCTATGAAGTCTACCATCTCGACCAGTTAGTATGCTACAGAAGATAGAGACCAGCATAAGAGAGTTCTCTGTATCTATTCCAATGCAGCCATCGTTACGATGTTTTAACTAAAAAGTGTGAAAAAGGAAGGAAACGATACTTTTGTTTAGCAGCAGAAATAAACTAGGTAAGAAAAGCAAGGGGGTTTTTGCAAAGCTTTTTATTCCTTAGAAACATTTACTAAATGGTGTTGTAACTAAGCAGCGAAAACCATATATACAAATCCTCATAAAAAACTTAGGCATTGACCTACTGCTTTATGTTGGCATTTCAGTGTCCTGGCAGAGTTCTCCGTAGATTCAGCACATGGCAAAAAAACATATAAGGTGAGTAAGTGGTTTATTTTGTCACCTTTGTAAAAGTTTCTTTTTTGAACCATTATAACATAATAATTCTATGGCCTGCGCTCTACGTTTTTATAAAGTACTTTATTAACACAGAGGTGGTACCTAGCCCGTCCTAAGACTAATTCACACAGAACAAAATGTCATTTAATGTCAGCTAAAGGTCTCTGTCCCCATTTTATACAATCACTAAGAAACTGGAAAACTACAAAGTAAGTGAAGGACATCTTCAACCTCCCATTTCTTACTCCCAAAAGAGGATGACACTGGATTTTCCACAATAGTCTAACGACCCTTCCATTTTAAACTGTCTAAGGTCTTTAAAAACAAGGTATTTTCCACCAAACACCCCATTTCCCATGTTGTCTTAGCCCAACAGATATTAAGGCCAAAGGGCCATTCTGACCCTGCACAGCACAGGCCGGAGAATCACCCACTGATTCCTTCACCATGTCCAGACTAGAGCAGATCCCTCAGAAAGGCAGCCATCTTGATGCAAACGCTTCAAGTGCTGGAGAATGCACCGCAGCCCTTGGTAAATTGTTGCAATGGTTACTCACCCTCAGTGAAAAATTTCCACCTTCTCTCTCATCTGAATTTTTCCAGCTTCAGCATCTGGCCACTGGATCCTGCTCTGACTTCCCCTGCTGGGTTGAAAAGCCCTCTACTCAGGCTTTCGACCCCAGATTGGTACTTAGAGATCACGATCGCACACCCACTTCACTTTCTCGTGGACAAATGAAAGCGATGAGGCTCTCATGTTTTCAACCTCTATCTGGTGTTTTCCTCGAATTCCCAGTTCCTGGAGTCATGTGATTATTGGCTAAGACATTGAGTCTGCTTTTTGGTAAACCAGACGGATCTAGCTCTTTATGTTGGTCACTCAAGGGCATTTTCTCCAGCCCTCAAACTCTGCAGGTCTCTTCCCTGCATCCTCTCCAATGTATCACCCCCCTGTTAGAATGTGTACACCAGAACTAGGCACAGGTTTCCAGCCTCCCAGTGCCACCCCTGGAGGTGAAATCCCCTCCCAGCTCAGTACAGCCGTGTATGTTCCACACCCAAGGATTGCACGACCCCTCGTGCCATGGCACTGCACTGGTAGCTTGTGTCCAGCTGCTTGTCCGCTGTGCCCCCTAGATCCTTTCCCATCACTGCTGCCCAATAGACAGCCCCCAGAGCCACCCCGGCACTGAGGCAAAGGGACGCTCCGTGATGGTGTGCAGGGGATCATTAACCAATCACTGTTTTTGGGGGGGGGTCAGCCCCTGGTTCCCAGCCCCATACTTTTCCCAAGGGGAGAGCAGCTGTGACCACCTCCTACCTGGCCCCAGAGAGGGCCAGGCATGGGGGGCTCCACAGGGTGCCACTTCATAGGCCCCATACTGCTCATGGCAGCACCAGGGCCATTCCACATGGCGGCACTCCTGCGCCAACCAACCGCACCAGGGCAGGTTAACCCCTTCCTCACCTGGACAGTCGCCACATGGCATCTCCCCTTCCTCACAGCTCTGTGACTACTCTCTCCAGAAAGTCAGGGCCACCTGGGACGGGGAGAGCCTGTCTGAGGGAAGGAGACAGGCCAGGTCACGCCTGAGACCCTTCCATGCCCGTACCAGGGCCTCGGGGAAAGCCAGACCTTGCAGGGGGTGGGGGGCTGTGCGCTATGTCTGGGATTTGGGCATCCCAGCGCTTGGGGGGGCAGGGCAGAGGGCGGTGCTCAGATAACTATCCCAGCCAGAACAGCCCATGGGGCGGAGGCTGCTCGGGGTGCAGGGGCCAGGAGCATTCTGGGAGGGGGACCCCATGGAAAGCCCTGGGGCCAACGGGGGGCTGTTACCAGCCACATCTCTGAGCCCCTCCCCAGTGGCAGAGGGGGAGTGGGTGGCTCTAGCAGGGGGCTGAGCCCTGCCAGGGGTTGGGCTGCCAGGGGTGTCTGGTCCGGGCAGTCCCCCACTGCTGGGGCTGTGTCGTGCAGCGCCGGGACACTTACAGGGGCCCCGGCCCCGATCCCCTGCCCGATCCGGGGTGCCGCCCCCCGCGGCTCCCCCAGTTACCGGGGCCCCTGGGCTGGCGCCGCATTCACGGGGCTCGCGCCGTGGAGCCCCGGGCGCAGCCGGCTCGGTGCGCGCTGGGCGGAGCGGGACGTGGGGCAGCGAGCGCCGCCGCCTGCGCTCCGGAGCCAGCCCCCTCTGGCGGCGCCTGCTCCCGGCTGGGCCCTGCCCAGGGCAGCCCCGCAGGGGCCCCCGAAGAGTGAGGCTGCTGGGGGCTCTTACTGCCCCCTGCCCCAAAGACCTGTTGGGGTTGGCCCTGCTTCGAGCAGGGGGTTGGACTAGATGACCTCCTGAGGTCCCTTCCAACCCTGAGATTCTATGATTCTATTACACTGGTGTCAATCGGGAGTAATCCCATTGGATCCATCTGCCAGAGCTGTGAATTGCTCTGCTGGCTGGAAGAACAGCTTATTATAGCCATTTCACACATGGGGAAACTGAGGCACGGAGCGACCTGAAGTGACTCCCCAAGGTCACACAGGATGTCTGTGGCAGGGACAGGATGTTATACCCCAGAGTCCTGAGTGTCCCCCCTCCATCCTAGCTCTGACCAGCAGCAAGCCAGCTCCTGTTCTAGCCACTAGCCCTCACTCCCCTCCAGAGCCAGGGACAGAAGCCAGGGGTCCTGATGGGTGGCCAGCAACCCTGGCTGGACTGGGCGAGGCTCTCCCCACACTCTCCAAAGCAACCAGGAATGGGCCCTTTGCAGCATCCCAGCTCAGGGCTATGTCACTTCCCTGCAGCCTGCCACAGGGTGCTGGGGAGCTTGCCCCATCCCAGGAGCCACACATGGAGCCTGTAGTGTGGGGCCATGCCTGGATGGCAGGGGGCTCCCCCCCCGAGGCTCGGGTCACAGCTGTGTAGCCAGAGAGCAGCTGGGGCAGGGACCACGGAGCCACAGTGCAGGGTAGGACAGGACAGCCCATGATGGGGCATCACGGGGGCGATGGGGCAGGCTGGGTGCTGGTGGGATGGGCTTGATTTCCCAAGAGACATCTGGGAAGCATCAACTCCTGCTCCAGCTCCGAGGGGTTGGGGCTGGAGGCAGCAGAATTTCCCAAGGGGGCGACTGCTCTTTCCCAGAGACGCTGGGGTAGGAATCCAGTGTAGCGGCTGGATGGCTGCAGCACTGTCTGCGAATCCATAGGAGGAGGGTGGGTCCTACCAGAGCAGAGCTGCCCCCCCCCAGGCCTGTCCAGCTCAGTATCCCTCCCTTGCCCCCCCAGATCAAATCCACAGGTGCATCCAGTCCAGGTCCCCCCTTCTGCCCCAAAGATCAGCAGTGCTGTGCCAGAGCACCATGTGCTGGGGACTGGAGGAGACTTACCCGCCCTCTCTCCAGCCCCAGGAGATTTGCCCAATACACCCCCTCTATTCTACCCCATGCTCTGCCCTGGCCCAGCTGGGCTTATTCCCAGAATGCACTGGGGCAGGGCAGAGCTGGGGTCCCTGAGGCGAGGTTGGCTCTTGGGGAGCTGCCCAGGTGGCCAGGGCATTGGCTCCCAGGGCCAGGCTCCCAGGCAGGGTCAGCAGCTGCTGGGGAGTTCAATGAAGGGCTGGAGGGGTATGCGGGCTGATGTGTCTGGGACTGTGGGGCGAAGCACCTGAGGTCTTGGGGGGGCTGTCTGGTCATGTGGGGAGAGGTGACACCCCTGGGATGTGGCTGGGGAGTTTTGGTGGGGGTAATGTGACTGGGGGGTGTAACGTGGCTAAGGGATCTTGGGAGTGATGTGGCTGGAGCGGTGATGTGGCTGGCAGTGTGTTGGGGGGGGTGATGCTGCTGGGTGACATGGCTAGGGGTGTGGTGGGGTGACACCCCTGGGAGTGTGTGGACAACTGACGTGGCTGGAAGGGTGATGTGGTTGGGAGGTGACGGGGCTGGGGGCTGGAAGTGGAGTGATGTTGCTGGGGTGGTGGACGACTGACACGGCTGGAAGGGTGACGTGGCTGGAGTGTGTGTGGATGACTGACATAGTTGGGAGGTGACAGGGCTGAGGGGTGATGTGGCTGGGGGGGGTGTGTGGGTGTGATGTGGCTGGCAGTGTGTTGGAGGTGACGTGGCTGGGGGCTGGGAGTGGGGAGAGGAGTGATATGACTGGTGTGGTGGACAACTGATGTGGCTGGAAGGGTGGTATGGCTGGGGTGTCTGTGGATGACTGACATTGCTGGGAGGTGGCATGGCTGGAGGTGTGTGGATGACTGACGTGGCTGGGGGTGACATGGCTGGGGGGTGTGGGGGAATGTGTGGCTGTGACGTGGCTGGCAGTGTGCTGGGGGATGACTTGGCTGAGGGCTGGGAGTGGGGAGGGGAGTGATGTGGCTGGGAGGGTGATATGGCTGGGGTGTGGGGATGACTCATGTGGCTGGGGAGTGTGTGGATGACTGACATGGCTGGGGGTGTGTGGATGACTGACGTGGCTGGGGGTGACATGGCTGGGAGGTGTGGGGGAATGTGTGGCTGTGACGTGGCTGGCAGTGTGCTGGGGGATGACTTGGCTGGGGGCTGGGAGTGGGGAGGGGAGTGATGTGGCTGGGAGGGTGATATGGCTGGGGTGTGGGGATGACTCATGTGGCTGGGGAGTGTGTGGATGACTGACATGGCTGGGGGTGTGTGGATGACTGACGTGGTTGGGAGGTGACGTGGCTGGGGGCGTGTGTGGGTGTGATGTGGCTGGCAGTGTGATGGGAGGTGATGTGGCTGGGAGCTGGGTGTAGAGAGGGGAGTGATGTGGCTAGGGTTGTGGATGGCTGATGGGGCTGGGAGGGTGACATGGTTGGGGAGTGTGTGAATGACTGACATGGCTGGGAGGTGATGTGGCTGTGTGTGTGTGTGGACGACTGACATGGTTGGCATGTGACGTGGCTGGGGGTGATGTGGCGGGGGGAGTGTGTGGGTGATGTAGATGGGGGTGTGCGGAGGGGGACACCCCTGGGAGGTGGGAACAGTCTCAGGATGGGTGGGGTGGTTGAAGCTTAGGGCTGATGGGCTGTGGGTGTGTGGGGAGCCAGCCCTCCAGCCTGGCTGCCAGGGTTCAGCTGACTAGCCTACGTCCCCAGGGTCGGGAGAGCCCGAGGGAGAAACTGACCCCAGGGAGCTAGAGGGGGAACTGGTCCCAGGTTGGGGGGCTGTTCTGCACCAGGCTGGGGCCTGTGGGGAAGTTTCCTGGCAAATACACACACCAGCCTCCGGGGGGGGGGGGCAGGGAGCAAGTCCATTTGTTCATTTTTCTTTTTATTTCCAGTTTCAAATTTTCTACAAGAAAAGAATAAAAAAAATAGAGAACTCTACGGATCGTCCAGCTGCCACGGCAACCATCGTCATGGGGCCGAGGCCATGGCACCGATCACCATGGAGACGAGGCCACAGCACCGAGCACCGGCGGCCACAGGAGGGAGGCCACACAACGATCAACACGGAGACCACGCTACAGCATGAGTCCCCATGGAGACAAGGCCAGGGTGTGGACACTCACCCACCCAGGGACCCTTCCATGGACACGGCCCTCCCCAGGACACGGCCGCCCCTGCTCGGCCCGCTTCGTGGGCAGTTCTCCGTGTCCCAGAGCCGCATAGACCCACAGCCTCCGCCGGGGCCTCTGTTAGCACGACAACACTGGAACCGACAACGGAGACGTCTACAGACACTAGGAAACTACCACCACAACCCCAGGGGAGAGCACCCCGCTAGCCAGAGTGCCCCACCACAGCCCCCTGCCAGCCACCAGCCTCTGCCAGCCAGGGCACCCTGACTCAGCCCCCGGCCAGCCAGAGCACCCCACTACACCCAGAGTGCCCCACCACAGTCCCTGGCCAGCCATAGCCCCCTGCCAGCCAGTGGGGTTGCAGAGGGCGCAGGGCAGCAGGGGCTGTCCACTCCCCACGGCTCTCTGCCCCTCACCAGGCATATCCCCCATCAGTGGCTCTCTGTCCCCCAACTCTCTGTCCCCTCGTGGCTTCCCTCCCCTGCTGGCTCACTGTCCCTATGAGTCTACTTTCTAGCAAGTTCTCCCGCCCAGTGTTAGTGTTTCATGTCTACACTACAGGCCCCTGCATCCGCCTTGCCCCACTAGTGGGAGGACTGGGGGGTCATGTCCCTGCCCTGCCCAGGCACTGGGATCTCCAGGCCCCGTGTGGAGAGCAGGGCCCCGGCTGGCCACTCCGCTGCCTCAAGCCAGCACCAGCTCCAGCTCCCCTTGCCTCTCACTGGGCTCCGTGTCCATAGGGGCTCCGGGGGGCTGTTGGGACATGTGGGGCACGGCGGTGGGGGGCTCTTCCCCAACTCCAGGCCCCTCGTCCTGGGGGTGCAGTGGGGGCTGCTCCCCATCCTGCCCCAGGCAGGCGTGGGGCCGTGCGGGGGGGGCCGTGACAGGGCGGCGCCCCCGGGCCTTGCGGCTGTGGTGGACCTGCAGGTGCAGGGCCATGAGCTCAGGTGCGGAGGTGGCAAAGGGGCAGAAGAGGCATCGGTGCAGGGTGAGCTCACCAGGCGGCACCCCCTCTAGCGCCGGCCGCAGCGACAGGTCCAGTGGCTCGAAGTCGGCTCGGCCGTTGCGCAGGGCTCGGCCAGTGCAGGCCGGCTTGCGGCGGGACGGTCGGGGCAGGGGCTCGTGGCTGGCCGTGCCCCAGGCCTGCGGCAGGAAGGCCCCGCGGTACTTCTCGGCTGCCTGCAGGAGCAGCTCCGGCGGGAAGGCGGGCGGCTTGGCGGGAGCACTGGGGGCGGTGCGGCCCCTTGGCTCCAAGCCCCCGGCCGCCCCGGCACCAGTGCTGTTCTTCTGCTCGCGGTGGTGGCGCTGCAGGTGGTACTTGAGAGAGCCGGACTGGGTGCCAGCATAGTCGCAGTGTGGGCACTTGTAGGGGCGCTCGCCTGCCGGAGGAGAGGGGAGACATCAGACCCTGCTGGGGAGCCCAGAGAGAGACAGACGCAGAGCAAGAGGGACACAGACAAACATGGAGGCCCAGACGGACACAAAGACAGGCCAAGTACCGGGCTAGTTTATTCCACGCACCCACGCACACTTAACACCCACACCCACATGCATGGGCACTATGCCCACACGCACACTACACCCCCCTCCACACACATGC